GTAAGCATAACAGTAAGTGTCCCCTTGAGGGGAAGTGGAAGTGTTCAGAGGTGAAGCAGTCTGCCTATAATGAGGGTCAGAGTGGGTCCTGCTTCATATTTTCTGTTGTGCATAGCCACAGACTTGAACGCATTTCGGAGGTACCGTGTTACAGAGCATCTTGGCATGAGCTTGTTAGGGACTGCTTTTCTTTGGATTCAGAATAAACGCAACCTGTATGTTCCCAAGATCAGGACCACTAGCTGCAGGATGAGACTGTGCCGAGAGGGAGCAGCACCCGGTTAACTTTGGGGACCGCCCTCTTCTAGGCAGGTGTCTGGAAATGATAGCTTGACACCAGAGCCATTACTTGATGACAAATGCCTTCCTTGTTCCGGGCTCATCAGAATTGTGACAATGTGAGACTGGGTTAAGAAATGAGCAAATGGTGAAGACTACAGTACAACTTTGGTTACGGCGTGTTTCACGAAGTGAGAGACTGGGGGGGATTTCCACAGTTTGAGCACTTGAGTTTTGTACTAGCCTCCTCTTCCAGAGATTGGACCTGTCTTAGCAAACCACAGGAAAGAAGGTTGCTTAGAGTTTTTAACCCCCCGCAATCTCTGGAGTAAAATTACTCTGAGAATCTTCACCCAGGGCGGGGGCTTTGGCTGGCTTTACGCCGTCTCACTGCTGTGCCTTCCCCTGCCACTTTGTGACTGACCATGGACACTTCACAGCCCAAGTGCCCCGTGTGACATTCAGTACCCTGAACTTTGGAAATTGAATCTGTCTGGCCTTATTCTCCTTTGGGAGATGCTGTTTTCTTGTTTTGCATTTTATAGCCTCTGGGAGACTCAGGCCCTCTCTGGCATTGTGTACCCTGTGGAAAGAGGTTTATTTGCTATACTGTATAATCCCTCAGGATTGGAGAGGGGAGGCCCAGGCTTGGAAGATTTAAGAACGAATGGATTTCTGTAGAAATTTGGCTCAAGGTCCCAACTGAGAGGAGAAACCTCCAAACCAACCCATGGTACTCTGGATTGAAGCTGTGTGTGCTTGTTGTCATTGTTGTTGTTGGGAGGGGCTCTGGCTTAAGTGTCATAGGGAATCTCTGGCTTTCTTCTTTTTTTTTAAATTTTATTTATTTGTGTATGTGTGTGTGTGGCCAGCTCAGCCCACCAGGGGGCGGGGCTGGCTGGCATGTGGTGCTGGGGGATTGAACCGCGGTCCCTGTGCTTTGCTAAACTTGTTCTAAGTGGCGCTTTAGACCACTGAGCCATCTCACCAGCCCTCTGGCTTTCTTCTGACAAAGCAGAAGTCAGAAAGTTGTACCAGGTGGGCTGGGGATGCGAGCTCATGAGCGAGAGGGTGCTCGAGCCTCCTCCCGCCTGTCCTTCCTTTGCTTCTGTGTCCAGAGGCAAATCCTGCAGGATCCCCAGGGAATATCTATAATGCTTAGAGTTAAAAAAAAAAAAAAAGCAACTTTTAAAAAAAGTAAATTTCACTATGGAGAATTCTGACTTTGTCACTCTTCTTGGTGAGAAGGTGAGGCTTTAAAGGCCCTTGTGTAATTAAGATTCAACCCCTTGGTATATCATTATCTAGAAAGGATTGAGATTATGTAAGCAGTATGTTATGTTCTCTGCCACACTAAGGTCCAACGGCACAATACGAACACAAACATTGTCATTGTACTTCAGATAGAAATTTTCAAGCTGGGAGCGGTGGTGGTGCAGGCCTGTAATCCCTGGACTCAGGAGGCTGAGGCAGGTGGACTGCTGTGAGTTCAAGGCCAGCTGGACTACGTAGTGGGTTCAAGGCCAGCCTGAACTACAAAGTGAGACCCTGTCTCAAAAAATAAGGAAAGAAAAAATTTCAGTTCTATGCAGTTTTTGTCCTTGTTTTGTATGTGGTGTAGATGTGCAATGAAATTGCTAGAAAGTAAGATCTAAGCAACCTACAATGACAGAAGCTATTTCACACAGTACGTATGATCATGTCAGAGTGCTTTTGCAGTGGTGACTGAAAGTATGTAATTTTTATACCACCCCGTGGGCGCAGGTCCTGCCCCTGAGTCGCTGTCCCAGTGCTGGGACCCAAGGTCCAGTGCCTACCGTTCAGAGGAGGCGAGGCTTGGGGGCCGAGGAGATGGCTAAGCGCTTCCCTGGCAAGCACAAGGGTCTGAGTTCAATCCCCGGGTCCGCAAAAAAAAAAGAAAGAGGAGGCGAGGTGAAAGGTGGCTCACGGTTTGCTGAGCTCAGTCCAGAGCCCGCTGACGACTCCAAGGAGGAAACGCGGCTGAGGGCCGCGGCGGAGCGGAGCGCTTAGCTCCCGGCACGGGCCGAGAAGAGTGGACGGGGCACACGCCGCGGCCGGCCGGGGCCAGGTCTGCACGCCCCAGCCCGGGCACACCCGGAGGCCGCTCTGCTCAGCTGCTAGGCGTTCTCAGCGCAGAGATCGTCCCGTCAGGATCAGTGACGGTCGGTTCCATGCGGAACAGCCTAAGTGCGTGCGCGTCTGCGTGGGAACCTGCGCGCAACGGGGAGCTCTCAGCTCCGATGCATCCGGCCTAGGAAGATGGATGGGTGTGCTATTGTTTGACTTGAAGTGCATTACATTTTATCTGTTCTTGATTTTATTTCTAAGAGTCAGAATGTAAGAATTTATCATAGTGCTAAAAATGTGTCATTCCAGCCAAACTAGATTTAATTTTTAGATTAATCTCACTCCCGAAGTTCAGTCACCAGCAGTCCTATATTTAGTCCTTGACTAACAGGAAAAGATCAGGAAACACTCTCTTCCTGGAGCCACCGACGCGGGGAGACGGCCTCTTCCCCTTCAGACTCTAGGTGGGATGTTTTATTGTGTGATTTTTATATCCCTTAGCAGAGAGTGTGTATTTCTCCCAGGGATACATTTGCATCCATAAACATCAATCACCGATGTTTTAAAGGTGTTCTCTGAACATTAAATAACCACAATGCCCACGTTCTAGATTAAAGAAGAAATCTAAACAAGAATTTGATTGATATTTGGTACCCGAGATCCACCTCAGGGATCTAGCCACTGGCAGGAATGAGAGTCCCTCCTCTGGAGTCCAGTTCAGGCATAAAATATTAAATGAGAATTCATAAAAGGCATATTACTCATCTTAAATCAATTCACCAAGCTAACAACCAGGCTTGACTGCAGTTTGTGGTATTTAGCTCTTACACAGGACAAGTAAAATTCTTAAATAAGATGTTAGGCACGAACTATGATGGGCTAGCGCGGCAGCTCAGAGCACCGGCGCTGGGTTTGGTCTGGGTGGAACGGAATCCTACACGCAGGCTGCGGAATCTTAGGCAGAGCTCCTGAACTTCTTAAGGCCCAGTTTTCTCACCTGAGATATATATATATATATATATGATACACAATATGTACATACATATATATGCAGACATGTATATGCAGCTTGGAATGCTGTAAGCACTCAAATGTTGGTAAACACTGTGGCTGCTGTTAGGGTTACAGTGGGGTAATGTTCCTTGGTCTTATTTGTCATCATCCTATAAAAACATGTAAATAATTGTCACGGTGCGACTGTCATCGTGTTTTCTTTTTTCTTTCTTTTTTTTTTCCCCCCGCATTTTCTTTCCTTTATTTGAAATAAAAAAGTAGGCCTGCAATGGGTTAGACCATGGACCACAAACACGATGGTGTGCTGTACAAGGCCTAATGCCTCATACTCTTGAGATCAAAGTGGTCCAGCATTTCTGACCTGGATGATGCCTCCCTGAGTACTGTGTGGGGCCGCGGACTCCCAGGAAGAGCAAGGTCCAGCAGGACAGTGCATCCTTCCCCTGCTCCTCTCTGCCTTCACCTCCGGGTTCTGCAGCCTCTATTTATTTATTTATTTATTTATTTATTTATTTATTTATTGTATTTTTAGTGCAGGGTCCACAGGGTCCCACTACACAGATTGGACTCATAGTGTTTCTCCTGTTTTCCCAAGTGCTGGGATTACAGGAGCACACCCCCATGCCCAGTCCTAATTGCCTTATCAGCCTGCCCCGGGGGTGGGGCTGGCATGGCACACCAGGATCGAATCCCTAGCGCCTGCGTCTACCTAAGCAGGCGCTTTAATCCGTTGAGCTATCTGGCCAATCCAACCTCTCCTTTCTGATGTAGTCTTTTTCTAAGTCAGTTTCCCTCTGTCCCTGTCTCTGTCCCTGTCTCTGTCCCTGTCTCTGTCCCTGTCTCTGTCCCTGTCTCTGTCGCTGTCTCTGTCTCTGTTGCTGTCACCGTCGCTGTCTCTCACTATCTCTGTCTCTGTCTCTGTTGCAGTCCCTGTCCCTGTCTCTGTCGTTGTCGCTGTTGCTGTCCCTGTCTGTCACTGTCTGTTGATGTCCTTGTCCATGGTCACTGTCTCTGTCTCTGTCCCTGTCCCTGTCTCACCTCTGTGTTGCTGTCTCTGTCTCTATTTCTGTTACTCTCTTTGTCTCTGCCTCTGTCACTGTCACTAATGCTGTCTCTGTTTCTCTCTCTGTCTCCATCTCTCTGGCTCTCTCTCTCTCTCTCTCTCTCTCTCTCTCTCTCTCTCTCTCTCTCTCTCTGTGTCTGTCTGTCTGTCTGTCTGTCTCTCCATCTCCATCTGTCTCTGTCTCTCTCTCTGTCTCTCTCTCTGTCTCTCTCTCTCTCTCTCTCTCTCTCTCTCTCTCTCTCTCTCTCTCTCTCTCTCTCCCTGTCTCTATCTCCTTCTCTGTCTCTGTCTCTGTGTCATTGTCACTGTTGCTGTCTGTCTCTGTCCCCTTCCTGATCCCTGCTCTGGTTCTGTCTCCATCTCCATCTGTCTCTGTCTCTGTCCCTGACACTGTCCCTGTCTCCGTCTCTGTCCCTGACCCTGTCCCTGTCTCTGTCTCTGACCCTGTCCCCGTCTCTGTCCCTGACCCTGTCCCTGTCTCCATTGCCGTCTCCCCCGTCCCCACCCCCGCAGTAGGAGCCTATCTCCCAGAATCTCCCAGAATTTTTCTCCATACCTGTTTGGAAGACACCTTGTTTGACAGCAGGGATCTCTCAGAAGCTGTCTCTTGGACCCCAAAATGATCTTGTTTCTTCTCATTTGAGTCTCTTCTGTACTCCTGTCGTCTCAAACAAGCCTAGAGGAAAAAAGAAATCCTTGCATTTGTTTTACGACTAGCTGTAGTAATTAGGCTAAATTCTCAAGCATGTGCCCGCTGACAATCCAGTGTCTCCCTCTCTGTGTGCTCACGAAGTATCAGCTACTGATCATAAGGACCAGGTGTCACTCTCGCTTACCTTGGGGCAAACACAGGGTCAGAAACACCAGTCACTTCCTCGGTAACCATGAACAGTAAACACACTGAGGGGCATTTTGCAGGAATTCGGCCTACAGCCGCACCTCCTCAGGGAGCGTTTGTACCCCGCATGCCCGCCGACTTCTCCTTCCAGTGTTTCTCCCTTCATGGCACCTTTTCTTCTCTCGCCAAAGCTGTCCCTCAGTAGCCCTGGTTCTGGGAGGAGAATTCTGTGCGTCGCTCCCTCTGCCTGGAGCAACCTTCCCTGACGTCCATTTGGTCAGCCGTCTCCTCAGCTTCCCTGCCTCCCTCCCCTTCTCTAGGCAGAATGAATGGCCGAGGAGGCAACGCCAGGTGGTCCCCTCCGCCTGCAGTTCCGTTTCCAGTCACCTATGGTCAATGTGGACGCCAGAAGACTACCTGGAAGAGTCCAGGATTAAGAAATTCCAAAGTTTTGAAACTCGCAAACCATTGTGAGCAGCAGGATAAACTCCTCCTTTGTCTTGGGGTCCACCCTGAGTCCAGTGTGTTCACGCGGCGTGTGTGTCCTGTGTGTCCCCCAGCCGCTGTCTCCGGGATCAGATCTGCTGCGCCAGTACTGCAGACGTGTGCTCATGTGACGCTTGTTTCGCTTCATCATGGCCCCAAAGAGCGAGTCATGATGCTGGTGACTTTGTGCAAGTGTATCATTGCCCTTTCCCTCTTTTGCGGTTAGTCTTTTCCTGTTCCTAATATACTGTCTATTTGTACACACACCTAACTGGTCGCAGGTACGGATGTGTTGGAGAAAACAGGATAGCGTGTAGTTACACTTGCAGGGCTCTTTGCCGCTTCCGTTCCTTCTAAGCGAAGGCGACAGCTGAATGTTAACAAGCCAGCACACACGCCCCGCGTTATACAGCTTTTCTATTGTCCTGCAGTTCTTTGGCAGACAGCCTCGTCTCTGCTGAGTTCTCCAGTATCTGGCTCTTAATGTTAGTTGGGTTGAATTTTTCCTTTAGAGGAAAATGTCAACCTCTAAATTGCAAACCAATAAAAATAAAATAAAAAACCCAGAAAATATTATTTCTTAGCAAAATTAAGCTAAAATATGGTACCACATATTTCTCCTCTAGTACTGGGACTGAAGAAACCCAAAGGCATCCTGTGCTAGCCGGGCTTCAGCTGGTTTCTCTTCTCTTCTCTTCTCTTCTCTTCTCTTCTCTTCTCTTCTCTTCTCTTCTCTTCTCTTCTCCTCTCTCTCTCTCTCTCTCTCTCTCTCTCTCTCTCTCTCTCTCTCTCAGTATTGCTATGCAGTTCAGGCTGGTCTTGCGCTCACTTTGTAGCCCAGGCTGGTCTTGAACATACAGTGATCCTCTGGTCTCAGTCTCCTAAGTGCTAGGATTATGGGGTGCACCACTACACCTGGCTTTCAAGTGATTTTTAAATACTGCCAAGTAATAAAATTTGGGAGTTTTCACCTCTTTTCTATAGTCTCCTCTCCTTGCCTCACCCCCCCTCCCCCCTTTCTCCTCTCTCTGTCTGTGTCTGTCTGTCTCTCTGTCTATGTGTCTCTATCTCTGTCACTGTCTCTGTCTCTGTTTCTGCCTGTCTCTCTGTCTGTCTGCCTCTGTCCCTTCTTTTTCTTCTTTCAGACAAGGAATTGCTGTGTAGCGCAGGGTGTCCTTGAGCTCCTCCAGCCTCACCCTCCCAAGTGCTGGAGTTACAGGCACGCACCACGATGCCCAGCTTTGGAGCATTTCTACACCTGTGGATCTACCATCACAGTAAAGACATTCGGTGTGAAGACCACCAATAGTTGTCTACAGTAGACACGCCATCTCCCCACATCCCGGTCAGGCTGGGAAGGAAGGACAAAACCATTTTCTTTCCTCTGTTAGACAAAGCATGTCCCTCTCTGTTGATGTCGGGCGTGCCAGAATGTCATACGTGGAGAAAGCCTAACATTATTATGCTACAAGCTTCAGAACCCAACCAACCTGACACTCGCACAAGGTGCACTGCCTGGAACTGGGGACAGCTCCTTTAGCTGGGGACAGTTCCTGGGGCCCTGGCCTTTAGCTCGTCCTCAGGGGGGACCCTGGTCACCTGCAGCAGGTGGGCGCCTCAGCCAGGAGAAAGATGCAGCATCACGCCTCCTTGTTTAGAGATGGGAAACAATCCAGAAGGATTGGTTTGCTGTCCCACAGTTCACCTTATTTTTAAAATATATGCCACATAGGTAATAAATCGTCACAAGGAATACTGGGGAGTGTTTGTTTCCATAATGTAAATAAGAAAACTAAAAAAAAAAAAAAAAAAATCCAGGACGGTAACTATAGTAAGTTAAACAAATAACAGATAACAAACGAGCCAAGGCAAACCCGGAAGGAGTCTGCCGAGGAGCTCAGTGAAGTCCAACTAAATGACCACCGGCCGCCTCCGCTCCGCTCTCTCTCCACGACTTCACATCTGAGCTCCCGCGGGGGGAGCCTGGCACGCGCTGGGCTCCCGTGTGGCAGATGCCTGTGTCATCCTTCCCAACTGGTGTTAAAGGCAAGTGACTGCTGGGCTGGAAGTGGAGGAGCCAGAGCGAGCGGATCCAGGCAGGACCAAGGCAGATTTTGTGGGATGAACAGGATTCTTGTGGGCTGAGTGTTTTTTGAAAATTCTCTCCAAGAATGCATCTGACTTAAAGATTTCTTCACCAAAAGGAGAGGAGGAGGAGGTCAGTTTGCAATGTTGAAAAAACTCCCCCTCTGGTTCCTTTTTTTTTGCATGCTTAAATCAGTAAGGCAACAAAGCAATGGCAAGGTAGGTACAGTAGTCCTAGTTTTGATCTTGACAGGGCTGAGCAATCTTTCAGTGTAAATCAAACATTAATCCTCTCCAAGTTCTAGCTTGGATGAGAGGGAATTCAGGGACAAAACAGCAGCCTTCCAGTCTGAGAAACGCCAAGGGCTTCGCTGTATCCTTGGTCTGTGGACGCCTCCCTTAGTCATGGATGGCCCAGGCGCCTCTGCAGCAGCTGGGACCCTGGAGGGTGAGGGCTGTGGGTCAGCAGGAGGGCTGGGCTGGTAATCTGCAATCACCAGTGCTTCCTCCTTCTTGGATTTCTGGATTACCGCCCGGCTAGGCCGTGTGAGGAGTTAGACGGCTGTAAAGGAGGTTCTGGGCGTGACAAGATCATCAGAAACAGCTCTGGGGGGCAGGGCTCCAGGTAAGTGCGGGCGGCACTTCCTGCCTTTCTTCTCCTCCGGCGACCTGCACCTCCCGTCCTCCTGCAGCCAGCCTGTCCCTCTGACCACAGCACGCGAAGTCAGGCTGCCTTCTGCGCGGACGCTTCCCCTGTGGGGGCGAGCTGCGGCCGTGCGTGCGCGCAGGGCTGGGGCTTCGCGAGTCACGGCAGCTCAACGCTGCGAACACCGCAGACTCCAGCTCCGCCGCGTTCTAGACTTTGAGTAAACGGACTCACCCCGTGGCTTACAGCTTCGCTCTCGGAGAGGAGAGCTGCCCCAGCTCCGAGACCCAGGAGGCGAGCGGGAGGCTGGCTGCGGCCCATTAGCCCTGGGCCTTGGTGAGGGTTCCGGACAAGATGCGCCCCATCACAACATCCACGTTTTAATTGCTCTCGTGTATATGTGGGGGAGAGGGGCGTGGGGGTGTTACTGAGACTGAACCTAGGGCTTTCTTCCTGAGCTACAGCCCCAGCTCTCTTTTTAAATTTTATTTGTTTCTTTTTTCTTCTTCTTTCTTTAATTTTGAGCAAGGTCTTTCTAAACTGCTCATCACCCAGGCAAGGCACCATGTTGAGATCCCTCGGCCTCAGCCTTCTAGAGTTCAGGGATTATCGACCTGGGCTCTTACCCTATTCACTGCTTTTTTCAATCTCATCTCTTGGTTCTCTTTTATTTCTGAAGTCAGCCCTTGCCAGAACATAGGCCTGGGATCTTGGTCACAGACTGAAGGGCCTGTGTCTGGTTCTATCCGGGTCTGAGGTTCACCCTCGCCCCTGTGCCCCTCAAGGAAGCATCTGTTCCTCAGGTCATGGTCCCTGGCTGCATCCGAGGAGCCCTCAGCCTCTCAAGATCACTGTAATCCTCTTTTCTAAGTCTATAGTGGTGTTCAGAGCTTTTTCTCCCCTTAATAATTTGTTTTCTCTCGTTACCACCAGGATCATCCCTGTTGGTCCAAGGAGGCGCGTGCCGCAGGACACATCCCAGACACACAGCTCTGACCTGAGCCCTTCATAAAGACAACTCAGTTTGACAGCTCAGTCAGTGACAGCTCAGTCAGTGGTCTAAGCCAGAGGCATTTTAAGAAGTGGGAGTTGCCACACTCCCCGCAGCTGGCCCTTGGTTGCTGTTCATATGGTGTATATGTATGACCCAAGGGTGATGTGTCCCTTTAACTTCCAAGGGGACATATGTGTACGCAGTCTGGGGTTTTAATTATCATTGGTGACATCATTAAAATTCATTAGTTGTAAGAGTTTAGGAAGTTTTACGCATGAAAAAAGTGATTTTGGGGTCTGGCATTATTTGTGTATCCTGAAAGGGGTTATCCTTGGTTTCTCAAACAGATGGCTAAGCTGAGAGAGAGAGGCAGAGAGAGAAATTTTGAGAGAGAGAGAGAGAGAGAGAGAGAGAGAGAGAGAGAGAGAGGATTTCCATGGGAAGATATGGGCCACTGATTGTGGAGGGTAGCGATACCTCAGAGGTGCTCTAGGAGGGGAATCTACTCCCTGATGTGGAGCTAGGGGAGCTGGGTGGTAGGTTGAGTGTCTACTGGAAATGCTTAGGACCAGAAATGTTTTGGATTTGGATTTTTTTTTAGGTTTTGGAATATTTGCGTATACTACA